ACATTAGGGTGCAACTTGGGAGGGTTTGGTCGGATTAAAAGGTTATTTAAGTCTAGTCGAAGTTATGTTGAGACCTGTCCAAGTCCGGCCCAAGTTAAACTCGAATTGTCTGAGTTGTAAATGAATTTTAGTTTTTTTTTTTTTTCAGCTACATTATTAAATTATTAAAATTTGACTCTATTTAAAAAAAATTATTTTATAGAAAATCATTAATACCATCAAAACAAATAATTTATATAATGTAAGAGAGATGCCATTATACTAGTCCTTACAATTTATTAGTGAAAATAAAAAGAAAAAAAATAAGATTTTATGTTATTTGTATATATAATATATATTCAATATGATTTAATAATATAAATTACTTTAATATCATGTAATGACTAATAATTTATATGTATATTTAATATTTTTATATATCTATATATGTATAATTCGGGATTCGGGTTGTTCGACATCTTTGCCTAAACCCGCCCAAATTTAATTGGGCTTTTGAATTTTTGTCTAAACCTGTACCGAATTTGAAAATATTTTATTCAAACCCTAAAAAAATTCAGATTAAACTCAGATTGCTCGGGTTGAGTCCCGTCCAAATTACACCCCAACCATACATACATTTTGTACAATCTTCATTCTGTACCTCCATGTTTGTTTGCATAGTCCTGAGTATTTTGCAAGAAGCTTTTGACTGGCTGAGACTGAAGTTTGGCATCTTCCAAAAAATCTAAAAAGTCAAAAAGTCACTATCCTATTTAAGTCACATCATCTCATTTAAGTCACATCATATCTCTAACACATCACTTCAAACCCAACCCAAATCCAACCCATATTTCATAAAAAGTCAAAAAGTGCACTTATTTAATCTTCCCAAACTTACCCACATATAATACAAACAATTCAAAAAATCTAAAAAGTCAAAAAGTCACTATCCTATTTAAGTCACATCATCTCATTTAAGTCACATCATCTCTCTAACACATCACTTCAAACCCAACCCAAATCCAACCCATATTTCATAAAAATTCAAAAAGTGCACTTATTTAGTCTTCCCAAACTTATTATCTCATCTTAATCACATATAATACAAACAATTTTCACTTTTTTTTATCCCTTTCTTTTATTTTTTGGTATAACTTATCTTCATAATCTCATTACATTACTAGTCCTTTTATCTCATTAATTTTCGTGATATACTTTTTATAATTCTTTAATAATTTTATTCATATTCATTTCATCAAAAATAATGCAACAATCAAACATCCTCTTGTTCATGTATTGGTACATTTGCAAAATGTAATGGAATCTTTACGAAACTGATAATAATTGAATTCTAAACTCAACGAAAATAAAAATTTTAAACAAAGTGTCCATACCTTACAAGATTATGTTTGATTGTTGGATTATGTTAAGTAGAATTATGAGTATTGTAGGATTAAGTGATGTGATTACTATTGTGGTGATATTAGATTAGACACCTAAAATAAATTGCGTTTGTTTGTGCATTAGAATGATGTTACTAGTTGGTTGATTTGGTTTGGGGACACCACAAATAAGTAGCTTATTTGTTACAAATTATCATATTACTTCTTTATTTTTCTATACAATTTTTCATAAATAGTCAATAAGTCAAAAAATAAACAAACCCCAAATATCCAGTAAATTTATGAAATTATGTAAAACCCCTTATTATATAAAATGTAGTTGTGTGGTTTATGTAAAGTAAGAATAAAATGGTCTTTAATTATCAAACCTCATGAGATTGTATTGTAAATTCGTATCCACTTTGAAAATACTAATTTCTCTCCTTAGTAAATTATTGGGGGTCTGGCTTTGGTCCAGTCCGCCATCGAACTGGATCATGTTGTTGGGCCTGTAGGGGCCCACCATAGGTCCGATTTTGAAAATCTGAACCGTTCAATATGTAGAACTCGTCGAGTACTATATGTTTGTGAAAAATCACGTTGATCGAATATTGATAGCTATATGATCAAATTAGTTTTGTACAAAAAAAAGTAAACGGTGAATAAATTAACGGTTGATAAAAAACTGTTTTGATCACATAACTATCGATATCCAATCAACATAATTGTTTACGTGCATATAGTACTTGACGAGTTCTATACATTCAACGGTTCAGATTTTCAAAACGAGACCCGTGGTGGTGGTTGATTTGGTTTGGGGACACCACAAATAAGTAGCTTATTTGTTACAAATTATCATATTACTTCTTTATTTTTCTATACAATTTTTCATAAATAGTCAATAAGTCAAAAAATAAACAAACCCCAAATATCCAGTAAATTTATGAAATTATGTAAAACCCCTTATTATATAAAATGTAGTTGTGTGGTTTATGTAAAGTAAGAATAAAATGGTCTTTAATTATCAAACCTCATGAGATTGTATTGTAAATTCGTATCCACTTTGAAAATACTAATTTCTCTCCTTAGAAAATTATTGGGGGTCTGTCTTTGGTCCAGTCCGCCATCGAACTGGACCATATTGTTGGGCCTGTAAGGGTCCACCATAGGTCCGATTTTAAAAATCTGAACCGTTCAATATGTAGAACTCGTCGAGTACTATATGTCTGTGAAAAATCACGTTGATCGAATATTGATAACTATATGATCAAATCAGTTTTGTACAAAAAAAAGTAAACGGTGAATAAATTAACGGTTGATAAAAAACTGTTTTGATCACATAACTATCGATATCCGATCAACATAATTTTTTACGTGCATATAGTACTTGACGAGTTCTATACATTGAACGGTTCAGATTTTCAAAACGAGACCCATGGTGGGCCCCTATAGGCCCAACAGCACAATCTAATCCGGACCAAAGCCAGGCCCAAAATTATTAATCCCACAAGACTCTTGGTCCAATGTCATTTTGTCTTAATCAAACATGTAGGGGGTGTTTATTGTAGTTTATATTAGTTGCTTAGACTTTTCTTTTATTCTTTTTTTATTATTATTTTTATGTTTGTGTGACATTGTTTCTTGTAATTTTTGTTTACTATAAATTTGGTAAAAATAATTTAAATAAAATAAAATAAAATAAAAACTAATTATCAAAATTTTAAGGAAAAATACAAATCAATTATATTTTTAAAAAATAATTACTAATATATGAAAAAGTTTATGTGCTTAATAATTAAAATCAATAAAGTTTACCATTAATTTAAAGGGAAAAAAAATCAAAACACCCACTGATATGTTATTTTCTCAAAAATTAAAAAATAAGTGTTTTTTTTGAGTTTTGTCTCTTGATTATCAATTTTTAGCTAACAAAAAATAACATAAAACAAAGAAAGAAGCACCAATAAATTTTAAAATGTGATATTGTGAACTATTTAGTCTTTTTTTTTTTTTATGAACCCAAAAGCTCTATTGAAGTGGAAATTATACAAAAGCGTAGTCACTTATATGTTCAAGTTTAATTTTTAAGAGATAAAAGTTGGTTTCTCCAAATGTGAAATTGCACATTTGGGCAATCCGCACTATATAGGTTTTGAATTTTCCCTCATTTTAGAATAAATCTCACAATACAAACAAGAACGTAACATTTTAATGTAACATTTTAATAACATAACACTTCAATGTAACACACAAAAAAACTCTTTAATGTACTTTTTCTAAACGTAACAACGTAATATTTTTTAAAAAAAATCTTAGTGTACTTTTTCCAAACAAAACACCAATGCAATCAAAAAAAAAACTCTCTAGTATACTTTTCCAAACGTAACACTCCAAATAATGTCATCCAAAACGTAATACTTCAATCAATGTAATCTCAAATATAACAATCTAATCTAATATACACAAAAACACTAAAAAATTTCGTTGTATATTTTTCACAAACATACCACTCACAATTTGAATTATACATTATTAAAAAAAATTTGTACTCCTTTTGAAATGGTTTGAAGAATCTCACATCATTTTGGAATGGCTTGAAGAATCCCACATTTTTTTCTTGAAGTGTTACATTTAGAAAAAGTACACTGAGGAGTTTTTTTGTGTTATATTGGAGTGTTGCACTAAATAGTTTTTTTATAGTATTATATTGGAATGTTACGTTTGGAAAAAGTATAATAAGAATGTTTTTTGAAGTGTTACATTGAAGTGTTATGTTTGAGTATTACATTGGAGTGTTACAGTTTGAAATTATAGATTTGCTTAAACTTACTAGAGAATTTTTGTACTCTTTTTGAAATGTTTGAAGAATCTCACATCATTTGGAATGTTTAAAGAATCTAGTATTTTAAGTCATTTTTGTACTCCTTTTGAAATGTTTGAAAAATTATACATTTCAAGCCATTCCAAATAAAAAAGATTCTCACATAAAAATGCATTCCAAATTTGATTCTCATAGATTGTGTATCTTACCTTTCTGACACAAAAGAAAAAAAAAAAAGGAAACATAATATAAATAATGGTATAATCGTAAATCCAATTTACAAATAATGTATTAAATCTATTTTTTCAAAATCAATGAGGCTAATTAATTTATAAGAAAATCCTTGAGGCTAAACGGATCACCATTCCTTAAAATAGAATTTATAGATAAATTTTCCTAAAATAAACCCACTTTTAATGGGATCATTAATTAATCTCTCATTAAATCAATAAACAAACATTATCTAAACAATTAAGGGGGGAGAATGAATCAAAATGACCATTGAAGGTGAACTTGGCAACCATGGAACATCCACGGAGGAGCAAGATTATCTTGATCAAAGCAAGAAAAAGGTTAAAGCAATAGAAGCTTATGATGAAGAACTGCAGGGGACGCAAGATAGCACTATGGAACAACAAGATGAGCAAATGGTGGAGCTAGCTGAAGGACAAAACGATACCAAAGATAGGGAAGCCGAGACAACTAAGGAAACCCACCGATCCTTCAAACAAGCTCTCTTGCAATCCAGATTTAATGAAACTAAAAAAGAACAATTTTGATTGTGAAGCGGCCTATTTCTCTTTCGATGAGATAAGGAAATGGAAAACGATGAACAAACAGAGGTAGCTGCGGAGGTTAAAGGGACCGCCTCGAATCCGATTGTTAAACTACCTGCCGGTCTCCTCAAGAAAGTTAGAGAACCATGGAAAAAATGCCTCATTGTGAGACTTTTGGGAAGGAATATTGGTTACAATTTGTTTGTTAATAGAATAAGGAAACTGTGGAATTTACAAGCGGGCTTTGAAACTTTGGACATTGGAAATGGATTCTTCATAGTAAAATTTGAAATGATGGAGGACTACTCTAAGGTTTTCACAGGGGGACCATGGATCGTGATGGATCGGTACGTGACAGTCTGTAAATGGCAACCTGATTTTAAATCTGATGAGGCGGAGGCGGACACAACTGCAATTTGGGTCAGGTTCCCAAACCTCCCTATTGAGTATTACGATGAAAAGGTTCTTTACCATATCTCGAAGGTGCTTGGTAATCCTTTAAAGGTTGACATTAAGACTGCCATGGTAGCACGAGGAAAATACGCAAGGGTCTGTGTTGAAATGGACCTCCGTAAACCGCTTATTTCACATCTTACTATTGGGTGATATCATTATGTGGTGGAATACGAACATTTACACACACTGTGTTTTTCATGCGGCCGAGTTGGCCATCAGAAAGACAAGTACCCTGAATTTTCGATAATATAGCCGGAGAAGATGAAACAAAATGAGACCGTTAACCAACCTAGAGCTGATACTGGGCCAAAAACATCAAGGCCCAATGGGCATAAGAATAAGGAAATATGCACTGAAGAAGAAACAAATGGCTATGGACCGCGGACCATAGCACCAAGTAGAACAAAATTTCAACAAGGAAAACACAAAGAGAAGGCCCATCTTCAAAAGGGCAACAGATTTGAAGTCCTACAGCTAGACAAAGAATGTGGCTATGGACCATAGCATAAGAATAAGGAAATATGCATTGAGGAAGAAACAACTAGCTATGGACCATGGACCATAGCACTAAGTAGAAGAAAATTTCAACAAAGGAAACACAAACATAAGGCCCATCTTCAAAAGGGCAACAGATTTAAAGTCCTACAATTGGACAAAGAACATGGGAAAAGTAATGAAGCCTAGAGAAACAGTGGAGGCTAGAGAAACAGTGGAAGCCAGAGGAAGTATGTGGACTTGGATATGGGCCACACTACTGATATAGGTCCCGTACCTAGTGACCAACCTAGGGAATCACCGGTTATACCTTTACAGCTCTCTCCAATAATGGATGTGGACCTAGTTAAACCCATGAAGGATAGTAAACAAGATATAGGGCTAGTTATAGAACATAGGCTAGAAGAAAAATGAGCGACCCATCAGGCCAATCAGCCCATTACCCAACAAGCAGAACCAAACACTAGCCCAGGTGAAGCCCGTAGCCAAGGAAACCCTAACACCTCAAATGTTATCAAGCCTCCCTCTGTCTCCAATAGCTCAGCTATAATGCTAGTTGGAAAACTCTCACCAAATCGAGTGAAAGCCAACGGAGGTAAACAACTAGAGGCTAGCGAAACACAAGCAAAAAGAGCTAATGGAGGAAGTTGCAGAGAACATCTTAATGACAGAGCATCAAGCGGACTAGTTCAAAACTCTACTATTTCTAGAACTCGAGAAAGAAGTATGTCACCACGTCGGAATAGATTGGTGGCTAGAAGAAGTGAAGCTTCTGATTCAACCTTGGTGGGAGATAGATTCGCATAATGTGAGGCATATGGTACTTCTGAAACCAACGAAAGCAATGGAGAAAGACCAAAACAGAGCAAGAAACATTATGGGGCACTCTGAGTCAGCAGACTGGCCAACCCTTCAAATGTCGTCAATGGATCTGCTGATATGGAACTGTAGGGGCACTGGTAAGGATCGATTCAGGAAAAATCTGGGTGAATTGGTACAAATGCATAAACCTAACATGCTTATCCTCAAGGAGACCAAAGTGGAATTAAACATGATGGGTATGTTTTTTAATAATTTGGGGTATATTGCCTCAACTCATGTCGATCCGATTGGAAGGAGTGGAGGAATTTGGTTACTGTGGAATCCTAGCCAAGCTAATGTTCGAGTTACTGACACTAGCTTCCAGATGATCACAGCTACAATTTCATGCCAAGAGTATCCAGATTGGGTTCTTTCCGCCGTTTATGCAAGCCCAAATAACAGAATGAGAGATGAACTCTGGAATGGGTTAGAAATGATTACGCAAAATACCCAGGAACTGTGGCTGGTAGCCGAGGATTTTAACGAATACTCAAGTTCTGAGGAAAAAAGGAGTTTTTCAATTCACCAGAGCCAAAGCTCAAGCCAAAGCCACAAAAGGAGTCAAAAATTCACTAATAGAGTTAACAATTGCTCTCTTATGGATTTAGGCTGTGTTGATCCTAGGCTCACTGGGACAAATAACAGAAAATGATGGGCCAATACTATGGTGCGATTGGATCGGGCCCTTTGTAACACGGAATGGAGAACCCTATTTCTAGAGGGGTATGTTCGAAACTTGCCTCGCACTTATTCGGACCATTCTTCTCTCATCGTTCACACTCAAGGTACGCATCATTCTAACCTCTATTGTACCTCCTTTAAATTCCAAGTAGCTTGGATATCCCATGAGGGCTTCCGAGAAATTGTTGATAATAGCTGGTCTAAACACAACCAGACTAACCTTTTGGGAAATTTGGATTGCTTGACAACTATGGCTAAGGTTTGGAACAAAAATGTTTTTGGTAATATTTTCAGACGCAAACGTTGGCTGCTAGGATCAATGGAGTCCAAATTTTGCAAGCTAAGCATTATTCTCATAATCTGCATCAACTAGAAACTGAGCTTATTGTTGAGTTTAATAAAGTCTTGTTTCAAGAAGAGTTGCTTTGGTTCCAAAAATCTCATGCTAATTGGATTACCCAGGGTGAGCAAAATACTAAGTTTTTCTACATGTCTACCATTATTAAGAGAAGGAAGGCTAAAATTGAAGTTTTGAAAACTGATAAGAGGGTTTGGGTGGATAACCCCACTGTTTTAAAAACTCTAGTCAATACCCATTTTCAAAATCCGTTTGCTTTTAACCACACTATTTGTCTTGATCACTGGAACAACTAGACCAAGTACATAAGCCCTGATGATCAATTTGAGATGAGCAGGGATGTCTCCGATGATGAGATATGGAGGGCAGTTAAAAACATCAAAGCCTTCAAGGCCCCGAGTCTAGATAGGTACCAAGCTATTTTTTATCATACCTTTTGGGATATTGTGGGAAGGTCTGTGACCAATGTTGTCAAACATTGCTTTTCACTTGTTCTATCCCCCTTGAGATAAATAGAACTCTAATAGTACTTATCCCTAAAATTGCTAATCCAGAAAATGTGAAATAGTTTCGGCCTATTAGTTTGTGCAATGTGACCTACAAAAGTGTATCCAAAATCATTGTTAACCGCATTAGGCCTCTCCTGAACAATATCATTAGCCCTATCCAAAGCAGCTTTATTCTGGGTAGATCCACTCATGATAACATCATCATTACTCAGGAAGCTCTTCACACCTTGAGAAATAAAAAAGGAAAGGTGGGTTACATGATTTTTAAGGTTGATCTTGAAAAGGCTTATGATAATATGTCTTGGAATTTCCTTCAACAAACTCTAAATGAGTTTCAATTTGATGGGAAGCTGGTGGACTTAATTATGAGTTGTGTCACTAGTGTGAGTACTACTATCCTGTGGAATGGCCAACCTCTTGAAGAGTTTCAACCTGCTAAGGGTTTACGGCAAGAGGATCCTCTATCCCCTTATCTTTTTGTGTTATGCATGGAAAGGCTCTCTGCTATGATTAATCAAAAAGTGCAACGAAAGGAGTGGATGGGGCTTAGCTTGGCTAAGAATGGCCCTATTATTTCTCACTTGTTTTTTGCGGACGACTTGATTTTGTTTGCTAAAGCAAATGATCAAAACTGTACCACCATTTTGAAAGTGCTGGATGAGTTTAGTGCTATCTCTAGGTGAAGGTTAATTTACAAAAATCCCATATATTTGTGTCTTCTAACAATGAAAGACACAGAGCTAGAAATTTGAGTAACATGAGTGGTATTCCTTTAACTCAAAATTTGGGGAAATACCTTGGGATACCTTTGTTTCATACTAGAGTGAGCAAAAATAACTTTAATTATATCATGGAAAAACTTAAAAACAAGCTTTCTGGATGGAAAACTGGAATGCTGTCCTTAGCAGGGAGGGCAACTTTGATTCAATCAGTTACTAGTGCTATGTCAACTTATGCCATGCACACGTTGGAGATCCCGAGGAAAGTTTGTGATGGGATTGACAAAATTAACCGAAACTTTTTTTGGGGTGATACCTCTAAAAAGAGGAAAGTGCACCTTGTGAATTAGAATCAAGTTTGCAAGATGAAAAAAGATGATGGACTTGGGATTCGAAAGGCTATAGACCAAAATCTAGCCCTTCTGTACAAGTTGGGATGGAAAGTGCTAAAGGAGGAACATTGTTCATGGGTGGATATGCTTAAACAAAAATACTTGGGGCAGCAACATTTCTTATCCAAAAGGAAATGCAAGAATATATCTCATACTTGGAAAGGCATTTTAAATACCAGAGAGCTCCTTGTTAAGAGAGTGAGATAGAACCTTGGCAAAGGGTCCAAAGTGAGGGTTTGGAAAGATTGGTGGTATGGTAATAGGGTCTTTGAAACAGACTTGAGCATACCCACCAGCCAATTCCCAAACTCTGAAAATTTCATTGTGCTTACCTTCTTGATGAATATGGTGAATGGGATTTAAATCTTATGCACAAATTGTTACCCTTGCCTATGGTGGGGGAAATTTTGAAAATGCAACCTCCCCGAACCAGAGGTGATGAGGACACTCCCAGATGAGTTAAATCCCCTGATAGAAAATTCTCTACATCCAGTGCATATGACTTACTTGTTGATCACTGAAATCAGGAAGGAGATTGGGGTTGGATATGGAAGCTTAAGGCCCCTCAAAAGCTAAAGAGCTTTGTGTGGCTTGCCCTCTATGAAAAAATTCTAACTAACCATTTAAGGAACTTGAGGGGTCTTGCAATAGATTCGAAATGCCCTTGCTGTGAGGGTGTAGAGGACATAGATCATTTGTTACGGCTTTGTCCAAAAGCCATACAGGTTTGGTGTCAAATATTCAGCAAGGATTGGTACTCTTATATGCTTTACTTACCTTGAAAAGAGTGGATTATTCGGAATGTGAAAAGGAATAGCAAGCATCCTCCGTTGTTCCTCATCACAATCTGGACTATTTGTAAAAATTGAAACAAAATGGTTTTTGAAAATAAACTTACAAACATTTATGAGATTGTGAAAACCATATCTAACTATTCTAAGGAAATTTTTCAACCTTTCAATTTAGAGATCACAACTCCTCTCAAATCTCAAAAGTCTAACTGTGTGGTCATCTCCAAGTGTAGAAAAAATTAAGCTCAATACAGATGGCAGCACTCGCCAGAATGAGGGAGATGGCGGTTTTGGTGGTCTATTCCGGGACGAGAAAGGAACATAGATTAGCGGCTATTATGGGA